GAGAGGTTTAGTCAGCACAGCACTCCAGGACTGGGATTAAGACAAATCATTTGATTTTGACCAATCAGGGAAGAGGAACACCTGGAGCCAATCAGGACTATGGAATAAACGGCATAATTGGCGAGGCAAGAAGTTGACTTCCTTGTAATTGCTGTTGCAGTGCTGTCTGAAAATTGCGACACTGCTATGAAACGAGGAAGAGCTTTTTCTGTGTTGCGAGACGGAGAGACTCAGGAAGTTGGCACATTCTGCCCCAAATGCTAAAAAAAAAAACTGGGCCCAGATGATGCATTGGCAGAGCGACACATTGGTGCTCTTCAAAATGATAATTGTTCTCATGACAAAATGGTTCGAAAGTTCTTTGGCAGCCATTTTCTAGGTGTAGCAGTGGTATTACCGTTTTGTTCCATCCAGTCTAAATCGGGATTTAACTCAAATAAAGCTTCAAAAGATAAATCCTCTTTCCGCTAATACTATTTGAGCCTTGTTTTGACCATAGTTTCTATGAGTTATAAAATTGTACACAACTCAATAATTGTCGAGAGAAAGTAACCCTAACCTCTAACCCTATTCCTAACTTTTTTACAACAAAGTAAGATAAAGAGAAAGACACAAGGTCAGAGATAACAGTAGGTTGTAATTAAGTCGTAATGTTACAAAGTGGCAGCTAGCTATCACCAGATGAGTGTTTTCATTTTTGTAATCATTGTAGCATCAAATACCTTTGGGAAGCAACAAGTTAGCTCGCTGTAATCCATTTGTATGCTTAGAACAGAGAGTTCTTACCTTGGGTTTTTATACACATGTAGGCTTCTGTTTGTTTCCCAATTTGACTATAAACTAAAAAAATAAGACCGACTTGTGATAAACTCGAATTGTCCTGCAAGGCTGCCCGAGTGTCTCATGGCCGATGAAAGATTTACGTAGCTTTAGGGTGTTGAGGTATTGATCATCAGCTTAATGACTTAGCCAAGGTTCTGCAACCCCCTCCCCCCCCCTCTCTTCTCTGGTTGTTGTGTGCAGTATTTGTACATTGGTCCTGATACCATGCAGTTAGCACAATGGCCCTGTGTGCACAAGCCTGTTGCTCGGGTAAAGGGTATAGAGGTTTGTTTGTGCACTGACGTCCTGCCTGGTTAAAGTGTCGTCTGAAGCAGTCCTTGACAACAAGATGTATGGGTGGACCAAACAGTGGACAACACTAAAGCAGACAGCTTGGCCTGTGTGGGCAGCTTTACAATGAACCGGTGACACACTGGGACATTTCTGTGACGTCCACATTCAGGTTAGGACATGAAGGAGAAATTCCACTGTGGGCTTGAAAAAATGTATGTTGGGTTATTATTCCACAAAATTAGAAAATCAAGGCGAAGGCACAGCAGAAATGCATTATATGGTCACTGAGTTGCCTGAAATACAGAGAGCATTTAATGGACAGTCACTTTCCCCAATCTTTTATTAGAAATCTTACTCTTAATTGTACAGTTTATTATATGTCTTGAGATAAGTTACCATCCATGAAACTTTGTTTAATTCCTCTCATGCAGTGCAACACTAATGACAGAACTATTAAAAATTCAGTTTCAGGGTTTCATTCCTCTTTTGCAGAATAGTTATCCGGGTTTTAGCGGGAAAGAACATACAGAATTTTTGTTGCGCGCCCATCAGGGGAATTCCTCCCCCCCCCGCTCCATTAGATGCTCATCCTACTGGGATCCTCGCTGGGACCAGCTGGGCTCTGATGCTTCTTCTTACCCAGATTCTGCTCAACAAACCTCTGCCAGAGGGCCCATGTATTATTGAATCCCTGGCTTGTCCATCTCAGATGAGTGCTACCGCCAACCAAAACCTGTCCACTTATTACACAGGTGTAGAGTACATGGTGCTGTTTTCAGTCCAAGTGGCTGTTGAGTCCTGCTCAGTGGTTTCTAATCTACGGCACATATAGACGGTCCACACGGTGCTGTTCTGTTTTAGATTTTTTTAGATTATTTTTTTTATTACTCATTATTCACTTTATATACTCTCTTTTAGCAATAATATTCAGTGGTATTTACATTTGGAATGCTTTTACGTACAGTCAAACATTGTATCTTTTTTTTGTTTCATTGACATCTTATAAAATAACTTATCTTCGATGGGATTTGTTATCTATTATTGGACATCACACGGTAAAAAAAGAAAGAGTGCATCCCAGCTGAAAACTCCAGCTCATTGGCATCCTGACCTTTAACAGGAAAAAGAAAAATCCTTTTGCTGGGAGCGTCTGTGTTGTTGTTCCCCCTATAACTTCATCACAGAGCTGTGGACCTTTTCATTTGGGGAGCGCGAGTAGTCGAAATGGAATTCATTGACTTGTTTGGTTCATACACACAATCATGCATACCGTGTCCTCAAGACGGGTCAATTTCGGACCAAAGTGGGATTACGCCCAAAAAATAGGAGACTTCTTCCATAAAAACATTTAAGAGAGTCATTGTCGCTGCACGAAGCAAATGGAACACTTGTGAATGGTTTTGCTTTTATAATTCACTGTAGTACAATCAAAGCCTTATGGTGCTCGTCAGTTTTTCTGTGTGTGTGTGTGTGTGTAAGCCTTTGTAAACATACCAACACTCAACTACAAAAAGCTTGAGGGAGTAAGAGGGCTGGGGGTGGGGAGGGGGAAGGATCACATCCGTAAATCACTTAAATATTTAACAATATCGGTTTCCCTGTGGGCTGAGCGGAGGGGGAATCTTTTGCGAGATTTAAATGATTAATCATTTTCATTTGGAATGAAGTGAATTATTCACTTTCCTGCCACTGCAGACAGAATGAAAAGTAACAATTTCTGTACAATTGTCTCACCCCCCCTGACCGTTTCTCTCTATACATACGTCCCCACCCCCGCCCCTCTCCCCGCCTATGTGTTATCCTGGTTTCTTAAACTTCCTCGTTAAAACTGTTTGTATTTTGCACCCACTCAACGTCGTTCTCATCTTTAAATCGTCTGGGTATCATAATTTTCCTCCCCGCCAATTTTGTCCCTCTCTCCAATAAATATACACTCACATGTACAATCTCTTCCACGTATCCATATTCCTTTGCGCTCCAACGGACACTACAATGCAAAAAGCAGACCAAAACATAAACACACACACACACACACACACACACACACACACAGACAATGAGTAAACGTCCTTCTTCTTGTTTCCTGCTGTTTCTCATTCCATATATGTTGTGAGTTGAATTAAATCGAGTCTTGGGTGTTTGGGTTGTTTTTCTTTGTCCAAGGCGTTTAACAAATTGTTGCTGCCCGGAGCAGAAGCAGCCTCCGCATTGTCTCCGTATCTGTGCTCAACCATATCAGCGTTTCAACACTTATTGCTTTAAATTACATCAATCACTCCCTCCCTGCCCTCGCACTCTCCACCCTCCCTCGGCTCATTTTTCTCTGTCTCTTTTTATTACTTCTCCTCTTCATCTTTCTCTCCTTTAACTTCTCTTCCCATTACTCTAGGTCTGGTTGCCTTTTCATCATCCTCCGATTCTCCCTCAACCCCTTTGCCCCTATTTGTTTTGTTTTTTTCCTCCCTCAGTCTTTCTCCTCGCCCCCGGCCGGCTCCCGTACCTCTTTTTTCTCAATCTTCCCCTGTTTATCTTTCCTTTCGTTCTCCTTTTTTGCACCAACATCATCTTTTTCCTTCTCTTCCCTTTCCTTCTCCCTGTCTTGGAAGAGTTGGGCTAATTTGTGGAACTGGGGTCCCCACTCCTCCAGCCCCGCCCCCCACTCCTCCTTCTCCGCATCCTTCTCCCCTTCGCTCTCGAGGGAGCTGAGGGATCCGGCCCTGGACCCTGTGCCCTCCAGGCCGTACACCTGCACAGAGTCGTACGGCGGCTGCGATGGGTCAAAGGTGACCTGGGCGAGACGCAGACGGAGGAACTCTCCCACCCTGAGTGCCAAGGAGGGACCGCCGGGCCCCGGGGCTCCTCTCGCGGCCTCCATTGCAGGAGCCCAGCCTCCACCGAAGCCCATCACCCCGCCATACGCTCCACGAGGCTGCCCCGGGAAGGGAAAGAGCTGGGGGGTCATATCCCTCCTGCCCAACACATACCCACCGAGACCCATACGATCACGCCAGTCCCCAATGAAGCCGGCCGCTTCCGGGTAGACAGACGATATCCCCCCGCCCTCCCTGTCTGGCCTCGCCACCACAAAGTTGCTCCCCATCTCCAGTCCTCCTCTCCCCAAGCTACCGGGATAGTCCCTCTGCCCGGACACCTCCCCCTGCAGGACAGTGGCGTAGTTACGGCCATTGGCAAGTTGCTGTTGTCCATCCGTGGAGACGCCACCACTTCCACTGCCCCTTCCCCCCACTCCTCCGCCACAGCTGGAGTCAGATTCGCCCTGACCAGAGCTTCTGCGCTTTGGGGACTGGCCCCCGCGGGAGGCCCCGCGTCCCGCCATGGGAAGAGTAGCCGAGTCGCACACCCATCCTCCTGCGGCGTGACACTGGCCCATCATGGAGCCGGATCGGGTCATGACGAGGTGATGCTCCCTGGGCAGCGACTCCGACTGCACCTGGAGTGATTGTAGGTGAGCACGAGTGGTTTCAGTTTGGGGCTGGGGTAGAGTATGCTTCTGTTAGGTGTGCTCACAGTAACACAAAATGGGATGTGGGATCATTGGATGAGAGGCATCGAGTTTTACGATATTGTGCCCGATTGAGGAAAAGCGGGAGATGATTAATAAAGGGAGATGATTGACAGGAAGGACAGACATCGAGTGGAAGAAAGGCAAAGATATTAATTGAACATTAGAATGAGTTAACACTAGAAGTGATGAAGAGATCAAATATTTGATTGTTAAATAAAGGAAAGGCCAGACAGCATTTTCTAAGACCTAATAAATAAAAGAAAACATAGAAAAGATAACTAACAGCTGGACATTAATGTGCTGATATATCTCTATTCATCAACACGGCCCTGCATTGTCGCGGACATCTATGCCCCCGAACAGAAAAGAAAAATAACTGAATAATTACTTCATATTTGCTTAATTACTTTTTTACTTACTCGTTTGCTGATTCAACTTAATAATGAAGCCCTTCATTCAATTTTAATGTCTTCCCAATGGAGCCATCTATCATTAATCGAGTAGTTCATTTCATTTTAATACATTATTCAGTGCAACGTCTATCATCTTCCTGAAATAACCATCTATCCATTAAACGGTCATATAGTGCAGAGTATGTTCATATGGTAGTTTCACACAAAACATCCACGTTTGCATTCTTACCATTTGTAGTTTCTGACTAATCGTTTGCTTATTTAATGTAATAATTTAGTTATTCATTCACATGGTTTTTACAATTCAGCCACCGGTCATTTAAACAGTTCATTCATTCGCCTTTTCTACTTTCCATCCGTTAAACTGTGTGGCAGCCAAGAAACCCCCCTTGGGCCAGTTTAACACCACACGTGCGATATGCATCGTTTGGCACAATGTGGAAGATAGAAGAAGCATGACATCATTCAAAACAGCTAGCTGAAATGCTACAGACAACATTATAATGTAGAGAGCAACGGTATCCATTTTCTCATTTTGCACACCCCGTCCTCTCTCTGAAGACGAGCAAATGTCCGTCTCGCGCGAGATATTTGCTCACTTGCGGAACGTGAACTTCCTTGCTCGCGAGGCTAATGTCTGCTCGCGCTCGAAGGTGTTTTCTACGCGCTCGCACTTTGGATTGGCTGGAGTTATGCACTTCTATGAACTATAGAAGCCCATTTCCGCACTAAAGAAAGGGGATAGAAAGTCGAAACACAACTACACCTCTCTGTAACCGTAGTGGACCGTAGATGACAACCAGCTACAACCCTAACTTACCATCATTACCAGCACTTCGGCCGCACATTAAGACCATTGCGTCCAGCTCGCAGACCGGTCTGTCATTCTGACTTGCGCGAGACGGACATTTGCTTGCGCGAGACGGACATTTGCTCCCGCGAGACGGCCATTTGCTCGCGCGAGACAGACTTTTACTCGCGGATGTTTGATTTACGTGTGCGCATTAACCTGATTTGCGCTCTTGAATTTTGACAGTGATTTGCCGCCATATTTGTGCAGCAAAATTCAAACAAAAGGCATTTGGCTGCTCATTGTGGAGCATTTTTGGGGTCAAATTAGATGAGTTTAACTATGATCCCAAATGAGCTGTTGCTTGTGGAAGCAGGGTCACGGCAATCCTTACCCAGTCGCCATCTTGGCTGTGGTTCGCTTTGTCCTCAGCGCTCCCATCAGTACAGTTGCTGGCTGTTCCCGTCCCCCCCCCTCGCTCCTGACTGTCGCTGGTCCTCGGGGTGCCGCCGTCCGACGTGCTTACCCCGCTCTGGGGAGCGACCCCGTCCCGGCTTCCATTCCGGCTCCCCGTGCTGAGGTCTGTGGCAGCTATGTATATCGGCAAGTTGCTGGACTCCATCGGCCCCACCACGGCCCCCTGGTTCTGGATGACCAGAGAGTGGTCCGGCTGGCCTCCAGGAAAGCGGTATCCCAGCTCTGCGAGGCCCGGCTCGAATGCTCCGGCCGGCGTGCGTCGGAGGACAGGTAGCGTGTGGCTGCTGTAACAGATGCGGCCATAGAGAGGCCCCCCTGGTCCTGAGTAGTTGTGCTCCATGCTCGGATTCTGGGCCCAGCTGTAGGTGCGAGCTTTTTCTTGATTTTGATCGGCGTAACGTCTGTGAAACACAAAACAAAATCTGTAGTTAATTTACCATAATTGAGTCGGTTGCCATTTTTCTTATTTGGACATTATAGAGTGGTAGCACAAACAGGTCTCTGCTGCAAATCAAAGTTGGACATCATACTTCTGGCCCCACCAGGACACACCATCTCAGGTAAGTATGTGTATGAGAACATGCGTTTTAATGTAGCGTCATATCCAATAGTGTCCCGCTGCGGATGTCCAACAGTTGACCCTGCAGGTCCCCTTCCATGGATGAAAACATGATTAAGTGCAATCTTGGAATGAAGCTCTGCAGTTAAGAGGGTACTTCTGTTTCTATTTGTCCACAAAACTGTAAAAAATTATGCAGTCAAGGCTGGGTTATTCTCACTTCAAGCCTTCAGTAGACAAATTAAATTAAATTAAATTAAAAACTGTTATATCACAGGGGTTCTGTTAGAAGACATGAAACCAAATCCAAGACGGCCCTTATAGAACTGCAGCTACTCGCCAAGTAGACAGAGAAGCATGAGTAAACGTGGCTCAAAAGTCTCCGTAAGATCTCACATACAACAGAACCTCAAACCACAACTTCAAAGTTCCCCTACGCCCCGCTGTGACACAGTCAAGAAAAAATGTCAAACTTCACAGAGGTTGTGTGTATTGCAGTGGCATTGCAAAGGATTGCTATGGCTTGAAAGTTGTTTTATTTCCTTGTTGTGTCCACCTCCATGAAGCTATTTTCGATAAACTTAACGCAGCCTTTGTACTCGTTTATGGTCTTTCTATTTGGCTCGCCGGAATTCATCAGAGCTAATTGTTGGTCCAAAGGCAATAACAACGTTTCGCAGAGACATCAAAGTGGGTGCAGACAGCCCTCTGATGTAGTAGAGCATAAACGTGCTTCCAACAAAACGAGAACAACAAAGTGGTCTCCCAGGGCTGCAGAGCATGATAACCTTCCGTCTTAGCGTTTTGATTGGTGACTGATTATGATCGCAGAGTTGAGGCGCGATCCGTTGCTTAAGTGGATCAATTAAGTGCTGGAATGGGATGAAAGCTTTTACTCTGAAGGGGGTAAATTTGTTTCCTCCCTAACTTCCTTTTAGCACGCGATAAGAGCCCAGCCAGGATGTTTGATATAATCAAACAACAATTGCTATACATGTGAGCACTATCTCTGATGTGGCACACACAAACACACACACACACACTCACACAGAGACCTTCGGCCTACTTACACGTTCCTGCTGTCCAGCGTGCGATATCCGCGTGAGCGAGAGCTGTGCGGGGCGCTCTGGAGCGCGGCGATGTCGAAGGCGGCCGTGTCGGCCTCGCCGCCACCCTCGTCGTCATACGTTATGATGTTCTCGCGCACATCGTCCTCCTCCAGCGGCGAAAGGGAGTCGCGTTTCTGCCGGCGCAGTGACAACGAGAGGGCGCTCACCGCTGCAGAGAGGAATAAAAGGATACGGAGGCAGAGGAGAGAGATTGGAAAGAGGAATGATTAACCAGGGAAGAGGGGGCAGAAGTCACCGGGGAAATAAAGGGAAGGAAGAGGAGAGCGAAGGGAGACAGATTCTGTCAGACAAAGAGGTGAGACATAGAGAAAGACAAATACAGAGCAGTCCTTGGGGTTAGAGGGCTGGTGTATCGTATCGGCGCGCTGCATGCCCCCGCTGTGTAATCGACTTTGAGCTGCAGTCAGGCAAATGGATGCATTATTCTCCCGTGACTCTTATTTCATATTCCCCGAGCAGAGAGCTAGATTTGACCCCGGGCTGTTGGCAAAGAAGCTTGGAAAGCTTTTTTCCAATGAGGCTACCTGTGATAGAAGTGCACAATGAAAGATTTCAAAATGTTTGATTTTTGGAATTATATGCTTTATTTATTTATATATATTTATTTTGTGGGTAATAATCAAGAGAATAATCAACTCTTACATTTCACTTATAGAGTGAATTTAAAGCCTCAGATTTTGCATTTTGGTCGCAATCTTGTGTTTTAGAACCAGGAATGACATTAGCCAATGCTGGACAAGCAAAAAAGTTAAAACCTTCATGTGATAAAAACACACTCTCAAAGCAACATGATCTCCAAAACCTGTTCGTAAAAATGTATACAAAATATTTGACATAGAAATTCGTAACAATACATACTAACTGGCAGTGGTTAACCACGCCCCTTTGAGGGGGTTAGAGTTAGTATTGTATTCTTACAATTTAACATTAATTTCTCGTTAAAAATGCAATCATAACACGTTTATCGTTAGACTTCACAAAGTGTGTTTACAGGGTGCAGGTCCCCATTCACTTTGAATAGGGTGACGTCATCAGTTGCCAGTCCGTATTTATTTAGTATGTATCACTACGAATTTGTATCTTCAAGATTTTCGTATACATTTGTACGAATAGGTTTTGGAGATCAGGCTGCTCAAAGGGTTTAAGTTAGTTAGTTAAAGTAAGATAAAGATGCAAACAATTTCAGACGATGGTGGCGACTTTGCAATAGCAAGGTAGCCCTAAAACAAACCCTGAGTAATTCCACTGTAAATGGGACGAGCATTTACTAAATAACCATCATGCTGGAGGTTGCCACCTGGTTTCTCCACAGCCAGGAATTCAATATTTCCTGTGTTCTTTCGAATAAGGGGTCTTTTATTTGGCCCAGAGGCTCGCAGCAGTCATATTTCTAGTCATTCACTGTGGATTTTGTGGAAGACAAGCAAACATTGAAAAGGATAAGTTGGCTATTTTCTACATAATTTCAACCATATCTCATCTCCCCTGTGTTTTCTTACTCAGTTGTCTGTATTCTAATGTCTTAATGTGTTTTAATGGTGTATTGGGTTTTCATCTGCTTATTTACGGCATTTAGACAAATCCATAAAATGCCTGCCCTGCTGTGCCTAATTACGTTGGGTGACCCATAAACAGCCGTAGATGTTGTTGCGTCTCCATCTGGATGTACCACAGTGGTTGAGCTCCAGCAGTAAGATAAAGTAGTAGCAGCAGTAAATCCCCGGCCTTGATATGGTGCGAGCGTTGCATTGTTTCCATGAAACTGACGCAGTGTTTCCTGATCACAACAATCTGAGGCATCGCCTTCACGCCACAACTAATATGTGTTTCTCTGCTCGTAGTGGCCCGACAAGCCATATGTTACTTCCACCTCTCGCCCACCTAATCCGTTCATTCAGTGGCCCTGCTAGTCACATCCACCTCGTCAGCTCAATCACTCGTCTCCCCTACTCACTCAAACCCAGTCACTCAAACACTCACTCGCTGCCTGATCGTTCTCTGCAGTATGTCAGACTCTTTTCTGTCTTGCATTTACTCCTGGACTGATTCCCCATTGCCACCCCGCTTGTCTTGGATTACCTCGTCCGGTAACTCACCCGGCCTTCTCTCTTAGACCCCGTCTTTTCCTGGTCACTCTGGAACCTACTTGTTTGTCTTGTGGTAGCTCACCCCTTGCACCGTATCCCCCAGACGTACGCCAAGTCCCTTTCTAATGAGCAGATGGAAACCTGACAATACTGATATCTCAGCTTTGTAAGAACATTTGGCATTTGGTGGACGGACCCAGTTATACTGCTCAGGATTAGCATCATCCTCTAAACCTCCTTTAGATGCGAAAGACAAGATCTGCTCTAAAGCTCTAAGTCTATTTCAAGGCCACAGGAGGCAAAAGCTGTAAAGTTGTGTGTATTTCCCAGTCTAGTGTTTGTCCTTGTCACATGAAGGACCGAATTCTGAAGTCGCTCTGCATGATCACCTTCACGCGGTGTCGCACTTCCGTCTTGATTGAACTGGCCCCTTACAGAATGATAATGCCCCTATCAACAAGGCATGGGTAGTGATCCAACAGGCTGAAAAGAAATGACAATTTGTCCACAGGCCAGTCTTCTCAGCACCTCCACCTTATCCAATTCTGCATTTGAGAGGTTCTGCAAAGGCGGCAGTGACATTTTATTATGCTTCTATCAAAAACCGGAGGGCCCAGATAATCACTCAGAATTGGTATTTTACCAGTGATTAGTTGTGACCTTGCCAGAGGAGATGACTGGACCAGAAACGCGAGGAAAATTAAACCCGACTATTCAGCAGCTGTGACTAAGGAAAAGATTTACGCTGCCGCCTCCATTATTTTTATATGCAGATTAAACACCCAGGGATGAAGTGGAGGGTAAACAGCCCTAAACACTATTTACTCATCCTTCTATTTTTTTTAGATTAGCATTAAATTCCTTTTTAGGCAGTAAATCCTAATGATATAACTTCATAAATAATGCTGTCATGAGAATATGATGTTGGTGATATAAAAAAACGTTTTTTTGGGTACATTAAATTATTATTATTACACTTCTTTTGTGATCGTCTGACGGTGATGACAGATTATCCATCTGTGTGTGTATGCAGTATTTACCCAGTAGAGTGGCGACACACGCCAGGATGGCCAGCAGGGCGGCGGTGCTGAGCCCGGGGGAGGGCAGGGAAGATTGCTGGGGGAGACACACCGCCTCTCTTTCCCAGTCCCACTCGCCCTCCGTCTCTTTGTCCTTCCCCTTCTCCCCGGCGCGGGCCCCTCCTCTCAGGCAGGGACAGACGGACACGGTGACCGTCCCGGTGTTGGTGAGGCCTGACGTCCCGTCCCTCAGCACCAGCGGCACGTGGAGCGTCAGGGTGGAGGCTGCGGAGCGGGACAGCGGCAGCAGCTGGGAGAGCAGCACCAGGCTCGCTGTGGGGCCTGAGGGAGAAAATGTATCTGTTGACAAGTGCACTTGCAATTGTGAAATGATAGATATCAAATGTGTGACTGCGATCAATAGGTGATTGCTTTACACCACAGAGGAAGCAGCTGTGGTTACACACGTGGAACACAGAGTAAGCCCGAGCAGCTATTATTATTATATTCAGCAATAACGGCTCACATGAGAGCAGCGGCGACGACAGAGCTCTGGTCTCTATTGGTCTGACAAAGGAGCAGTGAAGTGTCTGCCAAGGAGAGAGATTTCCTCTAAATCCAATATAAAAGGCTACAAAAAAATAAGGCAACAGATTACAGAGCTCACAAACGTTGTGTGGAGGATATTTAATCTGCATGAAAGGCACTGCAAATTCATATAAATATATATAACCGACTTGGTTATCAAAACAATCTTCTCTGATTTGAGTCATTAGTGTTTTTTTGTTTTTTTAACAACGCAAATACTGCAGCATTCCTTTGACTGTCCAAGTGAGAACAGAGCGTGTTCTTGTTTTTCTCTGTTCTACTGTTGGATGACACTTCAAAGAGGCCTTTGATTCTGCATGTAAAGTCAGTTTATCGCTCAGATCTATCCGTACGAGAGCCAGTCAGACAGAGTACACGTATCGAGATAACTTAACTCGGTTGATCGATACTCTTTATCTTTCAGATGGGTTGAATAGCTTTGCGTAGCGGGAACCCAGCCTTGCCGCTCCCCTGGTCTCTACGCAGTGGGTTGCGTATTATGTGTTACGTATCTACGCAAATTGGGTTTGCTGTCACCACTATCATTAATCATTGCGCTCTACATGTGCATTACCAAGTAGCAGAACGCCGCCGTTTTTCTGAAGGCACATTATTCCCAAACCCCCAAAGTCTGAAAAAGATCCCAGTGGGACTAAAGTTCTGGAAAGGGTCCAAATGCTCATTAATCCATAAAATTCCATCTTCATACAACATCAGAAGCGCATGGATAATTATTATGCAGCATTCCTTCAACAGAACTTTCCCTTTGCTTTTCATGCTGCAGAACCACTCATCACTCAATGCCCTCGTTGTTTGGGTCGGTTAGGCAGGAGCAGCCAGATTAGTTAAGAAGATCAGAGACTGGAAGGATGAGTCATGCGTTGTAGGAAGAAAAAAATATCCCGACTGGGAGGTCCTTCGACCTCATTTTACAAATGTATTCTCATGTTTGTTGCACAGAGATTTATTTGTTTTACCATTGTTGGGCTGTTGGAAGAAGGGCATTTAGCTGCCAAATAGCCAAAACTTTCCATTGCACATTGATGGAGACCAAAGCAAAGCTGAAAGGAGAGTGGACACACAACATTCATCAGGTGAATGGAGATGTGACTTCCAATAAGGTCTCGTGGTTAATGTGTCAATATTCACATTTTTGGATGCTGGCCCATACTGGCCAAAAAATAAAAATGAATGCTTTGACATTTTTATGAGAAGTAATACAGTATATGGCACTAATTGATTCACAGCACCTTGATAAAAAACAACTATGGCTTGTAATGCATCAGAAAGCGGAAGCTGATGTGAACGGGGGGTAATACATTTTGAATTGTGCAGGTTTCAAAATCTTCAAAACTGCAAATGATTTATGTTTAATTGAGCATGTTTGTTAGGCCTCAAGGATAAACACATCGTGGTTCGACTGCGAAAAAACCTGTGTTTGCTTACAAGGAAACTCCTCTGTGCACAAAATACCTCGACTGTAGAAAGATTCAAAAGGGTTGTGAATGTAGAACAATATTTTTTGATTAAATCAGGAACTTTACATACTTTTATTTTTTATTTAACGGTTCATTTCAGCAAAAATAACCCCTTACCTCTTTGATTCAATGCAAATAATCATCAGTACATCGGAAGCCACTGTGATTTGATGATAAGACTGTACTTTATATGTCTATGTCAGTGTGTACTTGCACTGTACATGAACTGTGTGTGTCTTTGCAGAGAGAAATGGGCCAAAGAAAGAGGAACAGACAATGTACTAGAAACAAATGCTAAATAGCTCAATTCAATTGAGCTGAAGGGAATGAAATGAAGCAGCTCTGATTCCTTCAGAAGCGTTTCTTTGTAAAACACTATCTATGCGTGGTTGTGGGGAGGAGATGGAGGTGGGAGGTACGGATAGGCCAGCGAGAGGGACAAATAAAAGAGACGAGCATAACAAAGAAAAACAATTGGCCCACTGGAGTTGGATAGTGGAGAGGCAGGAAAGGGGAGGGGGGGGTGAACGGAAGAGGCAGAGGCTTTGAGAGGGGGAAAGAAATAGAGTACAGGGGAAAAGACAACGCTGGAAAAGAATGTGGGATTAAAAGCCTTAAAGTAGTGGAGAAACAGTGTGTGTCTGTCGGGGGAGGGGGGGAAAGGGTATTAAGAGACATATATGGAGAGAGGGGAAGATTGAGTGCCTACCACCACTGTCCCTGACGCTAAAGTTGAGGGCGGCGCCAGACTCCGGAGGGATGCTGAAATACACGGTGCTGTCATTCCCTCCCTCATCTCTATCAATCGCCCGCAACACCTGCACCACCTGAAAGCAGGAGATAGAGAAAGCAGACGAGATGGGGTGAGGGGAGGATGTGAGTGTGTGTGTTTGTGTTTGAGAGCGGGTTGGTAGGGCAGGAGAAAAAAAAAAGGTAAGGGCAGAAAACATTTGCACAGAGAGTGCTTTTAGCTACAAACCATTAGCAGACGTCAGCATGAATCCAAAAAAGCCAAACAATTAGCGCAGAGAGACACAGGCGGACTGGGACTGATTCCCACAGCCAATAAATAACCGCGTCTGATGGGAATCGCCTTACGCAAACATTTGGTCATCCGGCAGTGGAATCCGCGCCAAGCCTACAGTGGCAATTGTATCAAGATTAATCTAAAAGAATAAAAAATCTCCCCCGCAGCCTAAACTGAGCGGTAATTTATTTTGAAGAAAACTTCTGGTGGTCATTATGCAAGACGTCCTCTCAGAGGGGCTTTGGAGTGCCAGCGTGGAGAGGGAACGCGGGGATGAGCGGCGCCGCATGCTCATTGAGTTAGTCGTGTCTGCAGGCCGCGGGAACATTTGTACAATCGTCATGTTGTCGGTTTCTGGGTGTGAATATTCCAGCGTGTTTTGTCTAACGATGAAGTCACGCAGGGAGAGTTTGAGAGAGACGCCCACACAAAGCCTAAACACATTTGACGATATCATAATCTCCCTTCCTTGAACCCGCTGTGCATCGCGTCGTAGCCAAACACAAACACCAACACCACAGGCGGAAAAAACAAATCAACGCTGCTGCCGCCGAACCACAGATTTAGTGGTGAGAAACAACAAAGACACAATCAGAAGTGATGAAAAAAACCAACAACAGATGGGCCAAGACACCAAAATATGGCTACGGAATAGGATGAGGAAGGGGGTGGGGGGGATGGCTTCCAGGGTGAGATTTAGCAGTGCACAGGTGATTTATATAATTGAGATAGGAGCAAAACACCAGGAAGAAGAAATAGAAGGACAAAAAAAAGCTGGACGGATGGCAGTCTGCGAGCAAACTGGAGTGTAGTTACAATCTGAATAGCTGCTGCGTTCTGATAACAGGCCATGGAGGATTCACCTCGCTGAATGACGCGCTGCAGCTGAACGCCGCCGTATCTGTAGGGATGTACGGCTGAACTTTGTATGCTTTGCACAACACCCGCACAGAAGGAAAACTGCTCTGAAGTGATATTCTATTAGTCTTAAACTGCATCGTTAGGCCCTGTTGCAAGCTGATGTTGAGCTGGTCTCATGTTTACCACATTCACACTCTTAGTTTAGCATGTTAGCATGCTAACATTGCTACAGCGCAGGCCTGTGGGAATTGACAATGTTGCTCAATGAAATGTTTCGTCATGAATCGACTGCGCCAATTTTCACTCATCAAATTGTTTTTACAGCGGAACTCTTCATGCAGACACCACAGATCAATCAGACTGGCAAAACACATACTGACCTGCCCGATGGTCGATGAGTCGCAAATGGCCGTTGTGTATTGACGGTCCAGCTCCGGTGCGTTGTCATTCAGGTCTAATGTCTCTATCGCAACCAGAACTCTGGACACCTGGCTGGGATTGTCTGAAAGAGCCAATCACAAAACAGCTTACAATAGAGCACTCTGAGGTGAATGCAGAAGCTTATACCTGACGTAGAAGAAAATCCACAAATGTAACAACCACGAGCGCGTGCACGTTTGCACTCCAATAAACCCATTTGACAGCCCTCACGAGCGAGGTCGTGCTTTTCCATCTTTGTTCAGCAACTTCAGCGGCACTCACGTTACCGAACGCAAAGTTGGCTAAAAATAAAGTAGTGCATTTGGTTTCACAGGCTCCCCAGCGGAGGTGTGGCTGACGCTTCCAAGGTGGTCAGATGTCTCCACAAGAAGCTGTTGCATTCCTCGCGAAAGAGAGCTTGTGTGTGTGTGTTTTCGAAGAGAGAGAGAAACGGAGCAGAAGAAGGAGTCAATCTGCATGCGGTCATGCCAGGGCGCAGTTTAAATGGATTGGCAGAAGGCCCCCCCCAGCAACAGTTGAGGCTGCCCTAGTGCGGGGGGTGGAACACAATCCAGCCTTTTCAGCACACACCTTCACTCCTACATTTAAGCAGGCAACCCTGCAACACAGCAGGGGGGCCATGCTTTCTGTAAATTGGCATACTCCCACACCATCTTCTCAAACCACTGTGTCAGGGATGACAGCGGCTGCTTCACAGTTCCCGAAAAAAGCCCCCAAATGCGCGCTTGCTGTAATGCAGGAGGATGAGCTGGCCTGCCCATGGCCATGGCACGGCTCATACTGAGGTAGGAGCCAACACGGCCTCCGACTGTCTGTTGGTTAACGAGAGCTCATTATTTAAGGCAGGCACTCACTGTGCTGCCCTCCCAGTCCTACGAATCCTCGCTGCCACTAGGAGCCCCCCGAGTCGTTTTAAGTAAACATAAACTTTGTCCGGAGCGAGACCAGGCACGAAAGACAGCTTCCTCTCCTCGCACACTCAGCAGTCACTGGGCTGCACCGACTATTTTTTTTTTGGGGGGGGGGGGGGGGGGCTTAGAGGAAGATCCAAATAATGGCCTCAAAATTGAGCCATTATTTAGCCAAAGGCTGGTGTTAATTAAAAAAAAGACATGCCAGGCCGAAAAGTCATTGCCATATGGTATCTGTATTCAAAACATGATATATATATAATTGTGCTGTTGCAGAGAGGTCCATTGACTTTTACAGTGGGTGGCATGTTCTTTCCATATTGCGAACACTTGGCTTGAGGTGTCATTTCAGTCGGTCCCACATACACTTGCTGCCAATAATACTCACCACTTATGCAATAATCTACAGCTAGAAATAGTCCCTGAATGCACTATTTCCATTTCTTTGAATGATGGCTTTTTCCAGCTGTTGAGATTGTTTTGCCGTGCAAAAAACAATGGGCTTGAGAATGCGACAGAAGGACTAGGAGTATTGGGAGATGCACCTTTGTATCGTTAGTTTTTATCCTTTCATGACAAAAAACACACAATACTGCCAGCTTTATCATTAAAACCAAACCATTCTTTTGCAGTAGTCTAAGCTCTTTACAACCCCTCCACCCCAGTACGGCCCTTATAGGGTTTTACCACTATCAACCACAGCAGGTCTTCAGCTGTTGATACAAAGCATCTCGTTGTTTCAAATTTCATCATTTGAACCTGGCAATAAAAGACAACAAAGACAACCTCATCTTGATCATTGTTGAAAGCTGCGCTAGAGCTTTGTGACACTGTGATTGTCTCTTTCAGCTTATTTTTGGTATTTTCTCTGTGAAGGGTTTGCTGGAACTAAAAGGCGTTTTCCACTCTGCTTACAGCTGCGGTGGGCCCCCAAAAGCAACGGTTGCGTTTGATATGTCACTTTTTTGGAGCCCTAAGCCGGTTTTCAGATACCACGCCATTTACAGTTTACACTCCCATAAAGCTTCATGCTCATCAGTGGGAGCAGGTGTCGGTAAAACATTGGTCCCATTTAAAAGAAATTAATGCAGCGATTCCCAAAGTGTGAGCCGCGAGAGGTAAAATGTTTTTAATTTTCAATTTTGAAAAGTTTGAAATTAATATCAAAATATTTATGATGCAGCACATAAGTTTTGTGAAACATTAATTTATGAAGCACAAACAATTTAAACGAACAGATTAATAACACAATCAGGCTCTCGCTCGAAACGGCTGCTCTTGTCCGCCTGTCGTTATTCAACAAAAGGCGCCGCCAAACAAAACAATGTCAAATGGGGCGCCCTCTTGTAGTATGAAAGTAAATATACCTCGTTTTCCGCACTTTAAGGCGCACTTAAAAGCGCACTTAAAAGCGCACTTAAAAGCACACTTAAAAGCCTTTAATTTTTTCAAAAAACGACAGTGCGCCTTATATATGGATCAATTGGTTAATCGGTTGATCCATACTGTACGGCGCTCAAGGCGCTCTGCCAAACATGCCAAAGCTCGGTCTACGACGGCGAGATGCTGAGCGGGCGCTCAAGCGCGTGAGATATGGAGCTTGTTTCAGGGCGCGTCGGAGAAACAAAGCTGTCGTTCACCAGAGTTGTGATTAAAGGTTTGGGTGGGCCGCAAAAGATTTTCAGATTTCAAAGTGGGCTGCGGCATTCTTGAGTTTGGGAACCGCTGAACTAATGGATGAGTTCTAGCGACAGACTTAAGGACCTCTGACCTCTCTGCGTGGCGATGACAGTAATGTTGTGCCAATGGTCGCGTTCGCGGTCCAGCTCCATGGCCGTGGTGATGAGGCCGGTGTCTGGAGTGATACGGAACAGAGCCTCCGGGTCCGACTGGGGATCAATAGAGAACCTGGTGAAGGAAAAGTGGGGTTGAAGGAGGGAGATAGTTGAGAAAGGGGAGGTGAAAGTGAAATTGGAAAGTGGAAGTGAAGAAAGGAATAAGTGAATGAAGGCTGGCTGAGGTGGCAGTGGGGTGCCGAGAGAAAGACGCACACAGGGCGAGTGTGTGAGGGTGCGATAAGGAAGTCTGCATTCGAATGGCCAAAGAATTAATATAGAGAGATTATCGGAGCTGATAGGAGCTCTTTTGAAGTGCCACCGATTATCTAAATATCTCTGAGAATATACCAACCATCATCCCTCCGCACGCACTCACTCTTAGCACTTTTGCCTCTGCTAATTGGGACACGGCTTGGTGCGGTTCTTACAGGCAAATCACTCGCCTCCCAGACACACAAAGAAAACCTACTGCAAACAGCAGTGCGAGGAGTGGACCACTAAGCGTATGTGAGTACTGCGAGTACAGTGAGTACTGAGTTGTCGTTTAGTTAGCTTATTTTTATTTGTAGAGCTATTAGGCTTGGGTCTTTTTTCTCTTAATTAAAGAGCTGGGTTTGGATTTCAATCCAAAAGAGTGCATATGCCATGTTTAAATCAATCAATTAAAAAAATAAAAATAAAAAGCAACTGCAACTGGCAGCACCGTCATGTGGTTTACTTTTCACTTGGCATTGTAACTGTATAAGCATCATAGAAATGTTGTTTGAATTACTAAATCAACATTTCTGGAGAGGCTTTCTTCCTTACAGTTTGGATGCGTCTCATGTCTGCAGCCTGTTAGCCCAGCTTAGCACAAAGACTGCAAATATTTAGCCTTTCTCTGTCTAGAGCAAACAAAAAGCACCCCCCAGCACATCAATAACACATTCATTTACACTTTAAGTCATTGTTTAACCTGTACAAACAAAGCCAAGCTCACGGGCTGTCCAACCTTCAGCAATCAAGCCAATTAGCATATTTATCCTACAGTGCTCCATCCTTAAAAACCTCGGTAGAATGGATGACGCAGTTTATCTGAATTTTGCCTCCATTATTCTCAATGAAAAATACTCTTGCTAGCTTTACGATGACAGTGTCTCTGTACCTGATGTTGTTGGTGAGACCAGTATCGGGGTCGACGGCGCTGACCCGGCCCACAGTGCAGGCCGGCGGGCAGTTTTCAGACACGTCCATGTGGTAGCGTGCTCGGGAGAACCTCGGTGGCTCGTCTGCATCCAGCACTGCTACTCGGATGGAAGCCCGGTCCTTAAAGGGGCCTCGGCGCAAGAAGCGAGGATCTACTATGGGGTTGAGGACCTCCACGGAGAAGGAGTAGGAGCTTCGGCTCTCATAGTCGACCGCCTGGGGAGGGCAGCGGAGGAAAGGCTAGTTAGCTGTAGAAGAATGTCATTGTCAGAGGTTTAGGTACAGTACGCACTAACAGCGAAGCTTCATCATTCATTGGATCTAAAGAACGGTATTGAATTTCAAAAGCAGAGGCATGTCAAATACTGAAATATTCCAACAGCTCGCTGAGGCTTAAGAACCGTCACATCCAAAATAGGTCGAAAATAGTATGAAGTAAATAATGCTACCATGGCAACAACGTGTTGCGTTTTGAACGTGGCCCTGATGGGATAATTAGGTGGTGGTTTTGTGTGAGGTAGGAAATACAGCATTACCAACGAGATTCACCGATACCGATACAAAAGGTTGAAAGCATCGTCTAGGGCTTCGACAATGATGCTGCTCCATGTTTGGCTGCTTTGATTTGGCGCCTTGTCAACCAATGTGGGAGTAACTCAAAGTTGTTCCTGTGAACACAGAGTGGATTTTCACTTGGAAGTAGTGCGGCCGATATAGTTTCGATGTCGACAAGTGGTTGCTGTGGGGGATAGATTTCCATGAGTGGAAACTGAAAACAGAGGCGCGCAAAAAAAAAAAATGACCATGGCAACTCGATCATCGCCATTGAGACTCCTGGCTATGAGAAGCGTGAGAAAACGCGTTGTATCCTCGCAGGGGGAAGAGATTTCTTTTGGGGTAACAGCTCGGGCCCCGGTGAGTGTTTGTTAAAGGGAAGTTACGCAGCCTATTTGTCTGAGGTGTCCGTGTGATTGCCGCGCCGTGTCCCAGCCAGCGCCCTGTGAGGCAGGAAAGATGGGGTCTGCCTAGAATTGTTAGTGAGGGCAGAGGCCCACGCAGGTGATCACATCCACATCCACTGTTTTGACACAAACTCTGTTGAGGATATTTCATAAATGTTTGGATATTTGGTGTGTGGGTGTGCAGGTACAAGTGGATCTTTGGCCGACGTGTCCTCAGATCTCAGACACTGTCAGTGTGCGTGTGTTCCTAAAGAAACGGCCCATATGAGTCCTGTCAGTGGGATTGGCACTGAGAACCACGTTGGACAGAGGATAAAAAGGCTCCTTGGTTCGCCGAATATTAGAGGAAAAAAAATCATTCCGAGCATCCCAGCAGCATTGGGAATATTGATATCCTCTCACTTGCGCCCCTTTCTGATCTCTCTTTTTCCATTTCCTCTTCTCTTCCCATTCTCTGAGCTGTAAACCAGAGTAAACTGCTTCACAGAAAATCAGCAGTTTTAGAAGATTGATTAAAGATTAAGTAGAAGAAAAGGGCAAAGGGATGGGGATCGAAATGTTGGCAATTTGAGGGAGCGCCTCTAAAAAAAAAGATAAATAAACAAGCAGCGTGTGGAGATGAGGGCGCACGTGTGTGTGGAGAGGGGGGGAAAGGGTTCCTTAACGGGGTCCCCGTTACAGGGAGAGAGAGGGAGAGACAATCTATCTGGAGAGGAGAGGTGTCACTTACGCTGTGAGCACACACTCATCACCCCCACCCCCCTCTCGTCCCCCAGTATTCCATCACTGCGCTCCCCCTCCTTCGCCCGCCTCACACACTCTATCATCCAACTCCCCTTACGCCCACACCCATCCTTTCCACCCCCCCATCGTTGTGTGTGTGCCACAGAGGCACACACACTCCCCTCTCTCTCTCCCCCATACATGACCCACACGCCACACGATTCTTCTTCTATGTTCTTTCGGTCTGGTGCAAAATGTTTTCACGCGCACAAGAGCTTGTGTGGAACACACACACGTGCACACACAAACATCTTAAGAGGCAGAATGTGTCACGCCCTGTTTTATTTTGTAGTTTTCTGCGTCTTGTGTCCCTGGGTAACTTCACTTGCTGCCTTGTCCTGTCTTCCCCTATGATTGTCTGTCATGTCATGATTGTTTCCACCTGTGTCCAATCACCTGCACCTCACTAGTGTATTCAAGCCATGTGTGTCTCTTGTCACTTGTCGTGTCATTGTTGAATGTTCAAGCCTGAAGTGTTCCTGTTTCCCACCTGTGTTTTTGGAATTTTGCTTTGGAATTTTTGGCTATTAAAGTCTTTTTGTTTGTTTGAGTCCTGCCTACACCCGTTCGTGACAGAATGGGTGGGATTTGTCAGTTTGTGGTGGGCTAATTGTAGGTTATATTGATTTAAACCACACAATACAGCAACGATTAAGACCACATGGTCGATATCTTCACTTTACTGAGCACCTTTCTAGTTTCGACGGACACCCAAAATCAAAAAGTTTCACCGGAAAAAGACATACTGCCCGCCTCCTTCATCCCTTATGTAGCCTCCCTTTTACCCACGCACTCCACAAGTGTAACCTTCTCCTGTCCTACGGACCTCCTAATGTCCTTTTTTAAAATTCTAATTCCTCTATACAATTTCCCTTTCAAATTTGCTTCACAGTTAGCAGAAATTAATTAGCTAACCTGCATGGTAGACTGGCGATCCATAATACATCTCTTCTCAGGGAGGCCGACCCATATGCATGCATGCTCTATTGAGAGTTTGTGTGTGTGTGTGTGTGTGTGTGTGGTTATGAATGAGTGTATGCATAGCAGTAAATGTTCATTTCTGCAGGGTGAGGCTTCAGGTCACAGAGGGGGAGCATTTCCCTGACTCTTCAATACAAGATTTAAAATAAAATAATAAATAAGATTGCATACTTGTGCTCACCTATGAGTATGTGCGTGTTTGTGTATCTGTGTGTGCCCCTGGCAGCTCGACTTCTTTCTTGATTTTCTGCATTCTAAAATCAACCCCAAGATCACACATCACATTTGTCTCATGACAAATGTAGCTTTGGACATTTCTGCCAACTGCAGAGTCGAGAGAACAAAGACTTCTAAAGCTCTCTTTTGACTTTGTTCTCCCTCAGCCGCCCTCCCTTCGCTCTGTCACTTGTCTTCTGTCTTATTGCACTCACAGATGTCCCACGTCTTCCTAACCTACAATGAAAGACATTGGCCTCTCTCTCTCTCTCTCTCTCTCTCTCTCTCTCTCTCTCTCTCTCTCTCTCTCTCTCTCCCTCATATTTTTTTTTCTCCCTATGAGGAGATTAACACAATCTCTACTCGGCGTGAGAAAACAAACACAGATAATCCCGGGCCTCGCTGCTGGCGTGTGACCGAGGATTAGCCAGCCGTTTTAAGTGAGAGCATATGGAAATAATAAAGGCAAACTAACACATCCGCGAGCTCGCTTGTCCTCCAGGTAAGAGAGGGAACGAAAGGCACAAATAGCAAGCTTACACAGCTCACAGCACCCTGAAAACATTCCTCAAAAGGGGGAACCTCCTGAATCAGGACGCTGCTGGATTCCATTAACGATGCTGTGACGTGCCCGGTGTTGCGTCTGGAGTGTGTAATATCCGAGCTATTAAATTTAGTATACGCGTGTAATGGTGCTGGGAAACCGGAGCGTCGGTGGCTATGAGTGCTTTCGCAAACACGCTGCGCCTTCTCTACACTTTTTTTAAAATTGCAATTTCCAGGTGTGCTCGAGCTGCCGCCACCAGTCCACCAGTCGCATGGATGTGAACCTCTGGCCTCTGGGGGACGCTGCAGCAGAGCAGAGTCCCGGAGCTCCTGTGTCGAGAACCAGTTATGCAAATTCCTCAATTACCTGCTACTTACACTGTGGCCTTGCTCACATGCTGTATCAAAAATCCATTAGCAGCAATGTGTACATTCATTAGGAACCATATGTAATAAGTAAATGCCAGAGTCCACCGGGGGAGAGCGGCGGATGAATGCTCTACTGTGTGGCTCACTTTGATTTTGCGTGTCTCCTCTTGGACATCTGTGTGTCCGTGTGTGTGTGTGTCTGTGTGTGTGTGTGAATTTGAAATTAGGCAGACTTGGCTCTGAGCCAGAGCCATAGACAAACAATAAGCACAAGCCGTCTGACACGCCTCGAGACACCAACCGGAGGAGGGAGGGTGGGGTGGTGGGTGCGTGGGGTTGTGTACGGGATGTATGCATAGGTGTATGTGTGTGTGTTCTAGCTTGTGTGTCTCCCTGCCCTGCATTTTTGGACATGTGTGGGGAGATCAGGCCGAGAGAGGGAGAGTAATGAAATGCAGAGATAGAGAGAGAATGGCAGAGCGAGGGGATCTGTTCTATTGCGGGGGGGTCTCTGTGGGCCCGACGGTAAATAAGCAGTGATAAGCAGCAGGCTTCTTCAGTCGACACCCCGACTTGCAGGCTGCTAATGACCCGACCGTCTCTCTCGCCTGTCCCCTTCCTTACCCTCGCCTCTGTCTCCCTGTGCTCATCAGCAGGTCTCCGGCGTCCTCCTCCTTCTGTCTGTCCCCGTCCTCCATTTTGCAATCACATATTCTCTCACAGCTTCTTTTTAACTAACAGCGAACGCCTTCCTCCAGCTCCCTCTGTAGACTCGATTCCTTCCTAATCTGCTGTTAAACCCCCCCCCCGCCTCACTCCGCGCCTCCTCGGCTCAGTCTCCCGACCGCCTCTCATCCCTCACGCCGTTCTGAGAAGTGGAGAGCCACCGCAGCGCCAGTTCCGTCGCCTAAAATGTGCAATCGCAGATCTTCTACTCCCTCTTCAGAGTTTAAACACGGAGCCGCAAGGTCAAGTGTGCGGCGTGTTGACGTGTGCGTCTGTATCTCTCTCTCCCTCTCTGTGGTTTATTGCTGCAAGGTGTGTGTCTCCGCTCTGTGTGTGGGTGTGTGTGTGTGCGTGTGTGGGTGTGTGTGCATTGTTAGATGACCGGCTAAAGAGATTCAGCCCACAGCAGCAGGGATGGCCAGCAAGGTCAAGGCCGACTCTGTGATACACACAAATTGTTCTGCTCAGAAACCCTTCGGTTCTCCGGGGGCCACACACATCATCTCTGCTAACGTTCTCCTTACTTTGAAAGGCTTCTGCATGGAAACGGACATCGGAGCATGCTCATTACTAACACACCCACGCACAACATTCTTTGAAACCTTTTTTGGTTTTGTTGTGGGGTGGCGGGTGGGGGGGTAACTAGTGAAAGTGAGGGGGAGCTTAGTGTCAATTTAACGCTGTTTGTTTTTAATTCTATTAGCTGTAGTTTGTCTGCCATGTTTGTCATTAGTGGTGCGTGGAATCCTATTCGAGTCAGATCTTTGGGATTTATTCATATGAGCAGTTTTCTGGAGCACCTTTTAACACACGCACCCCCCGCCCCCCACCCACCCAATGCCGTCGGCTCTACGGCTGACTTCTGACACGCTGCCTTGCAGCGATCTGTAAATACTCAATATATGTTCCACTTTGCTCGCGAAGTGCTCAAATATGAATCCTCTAGCATCCCGTGAGTGTTGAGTTGCATTTAATATTTAACCCTTAGCAGTTGGTCTAATCTATTTCTCTTCTTCTCTCGATGCCTTTGAAGAGGGATTAAAGCAACACAAAACCGCGTGGAGGAGGCCACGTTGAACAACTAATTGTTCGTTTTGTTTCCGTCTTTGAATCTAGTGGGAGGAATGCTGCGGGTGAGAGGTGTGTTATAAATCTGCAAGTCAATTTCCTTTCTCATCTTTTTTTATCTCGCCCGTCTCCATGTTGCATGTGCGTGTTGATTGATTGGCTCTCCTTAGGAGTTCTTCTTCTTTCGGCCTCTCACTTCTTCATTTGGTCTTTTTGTTTCCACGTTGTCTCCCTCTTTGTCTCAAAGTCGTGTTTCTCCTCCGTTTTGACTGTTTTTTATTATCCCTCTTTCTGCGTGTGGCCACGGATGGTTATTTTACCGCTCTGTGTCTCTTAGCCTATGTGCTAATTTCTCTGTGTGGCTGTCAATGACTGCGCAGCTTTCTTTTTCTCTTTCCGCATGTCTCTCTCTGGTTCCTCCATATTCTTAGTGCCTTGTTAGACTGTCACCGCCTCTCGGGACCTCATTTTAACACCCACCCTTTGTGCTGCAACCCCCTTCCGTGCTCCTCTTTCCTCATTCCTTGGTCCTTGCCTCTGCCTTTTTTTCTTTTCTTCTTGAGTCTCCAGTCCTCTCCCTGCCTCAGCTTCTCTTCAAAGGAGCTCCCAGCGGGGCTTGGAGATGCCGCTCTGCACACCCCCTCCAGGTGAGGATTGTTTTTCAGCGGATCCCTGCTAAACCAAGGCTGACGCTGGTGAATTCAAACGGAGTCGTGAGCACAGGTGATGGAAACGCCAACAACCCGTTGCTTCGCTAATATGGGCTTTTCAAAACAAATAGTAATGTTGTTTTACAGAGTTGCTGTTATTGTGGGTCTCTGCTGGGGAAAACAATCCCTCTCGAAAAGCATTTCAGGAGAATTTAGGAACGTTTTTTAAAGAATTCTATACAGGTTAGGAGACTTCTCTTCCAGTTTTGAAGATGTAGTCTTGCCTGTAGGAGCCTACTAGCACAATAAGAAAGGATGACTGAGACCAACAGAAGGACAATAGTGAAACGATTGATTAGTCGATGAATGAGTTTTTGAATCCGGCTCCTCTCAGAAATATTTTAGCTTCTCGTTTCTTCACCACAGATGTTTGACCTTCACTGTGATACAACTTGCAGCACAGGGGCTCCAGTGCACGATGAGGACTATTAGTGGAGGAGACACTATGTGACAGTCAGAATATTCATAGATGCTGGATTTTTGATCGAAGGAGGAGTACAAGTCATTTATAATGAATATCTTTTTTTGGATTCTATTTCAGAGAATTTCAGACATGCATGGAGGCAATCATTTATAATCAGGCTAATCAGTTAAAGACGTGCCTCAAACTCATTTAAATGTACGCGGCGTATACTGCTCACAATATAAATACATGACTGACCCCCCCCCCCGAGCAGAGAGCGAGCTGACAGCGTTGATAGAGACACGTCTGTATTTACACTGAAGAGTCTTCAGGGCTCATTTGAAATTAAAGCATTGTATCTCAGATGAGCCTCCCACGCAGAGCGCACTCTCCCCATTGGGTCTGGGTTATGTGTGAGTGCGGAGGCCTCTCTGCTGAGATCAGACGGGCGTGTATTCAGGGTTACAATGCGTACTAGTAACAAGTGGGTGGCCGACCAGCACCACCTGCATCCTCAGGAGAAGGGGATTATGGGAGACTACGGGGATTGTTTGAAACTGAAATCACCTGAACTACACTGAAAGGAGCAGTTAGGCAGCTGAACTGGCAAAGAGCCATCGCCTCATTGATCCTTCTGTACATGCAAAATGCTCTGCGCACCCAGGGGAGAAAAACAACCTTTTTTGCTGAACGGCGGCAGTCAAAACATTCTCGCTGCAAATTACGGCTGACTCCAGCGAGTACGGACGCCTCATTGTGTTCTGCTGTCAACAGATGGAAGCGTTGATAGGGGGAGGCGGGTACACTGTGAATCAGGCGGCAAGTTCATTTGTCATCAAACCACTCTCATCGGATGGGAGTCATAGAAGGAGAAAGAGGTGAGATGAATATAGATCACCTGTTTAAAAAATCCACAGATGCAAAGGGCGGCGGAGGAATGACTCATGCGGAGTGGGACAGGCTTACACAGTGTCTTTGTGTTCGTCCAGGTGATTCCAGGTAATGTGCTTTGGCAACGTGCTGTCAGCTATGCTGGGACTCACAGGCGACACAGATCTCAATCTGTTCCACCCTTCACCCGTCCGTCCCTCCGTCTCCATCGCCTCACCTTGTTGAGCGTGATGACCGCCTCTTGGTTCACTCCCGTGATGTTGAACGTCTCCCCGGTCTCCCCCTCCAGGATGGTGTAGTCCAGCCTAGCGTTCTCGCCCAGATCGGCGTCGGCCGCTGAGATGCGCCCAATCTCGGCCCCCGGGATGGCCAGCTCGGACACGGAGAAGGACCACATACCTGGGGGAGGGGACAGGGCAGGCGCTGATACACCTCAATGAAACAGTTAACAGTTCATTTTATCTTTTTCAACATTTTCAAATTGCTCTTCACAACCTGCTGCTGAGGCAGCGTTTGCAATATTGTTTTTGGAAAAGCAGCATTTTATTCGGATGAAGGAGCGAGATAAGAGGAGAGGAAGGCAGAGTATGTGTTGGGAATTGAGGCTTTATTAAAAGCCAAGTAAAATACGTCTGTAAAGAAATAATTAAATAAATGAAAAGGAGAAACACAGAGATTAAAAAAGTAACACAGATTACAGGTATGAAAAGCTGCTTTGTCTGCCTCCGTGTTGATGGCCGCGGCCAGCTTTTCATCACAATCACATTCCCTCCTCCTGCAAACAAGAGCGAATCAAGATAACAGGCTCTTTCATGTGGGCTGCCATAATTTTTACACTTGCTGGTTTTACGTTTACAGCTGGGCCCATTAAAGCAGCACATTATTAGAGTCCTTCTGCTGGCTTTGCAGTTCACACGCAGTACATTTCTCTCACCGACCAGCCGATGCACCTATCTGACGAAAGCATGGAGTGCACCTGTGAACAGGCCTTACTACATAACAAAACCCACTAGCACTTTAGTGCACCCCAACAGACACAGCGGCCACCCGCTGCACGGACCAGAACAAGCGAGGTAGGAAGGGAGAAGGTAAGATATCACCATTTGGCTCGCACGCACAGAACAGACAGCTCATCCGAACGGAGGCGTTATCTGCTCCGCTAAATCTGAAGGAATCAGATAGATAGACCTGTACGTGTGAGCGAGAACAACATCGCACAACCGGATTGACAGAATAAAAGATAGCCAGCGTCGTCGACAGGACGCCATCCAGGGCAACGCACAGTGCAGACGAGTTGTAGATGTGACAACATCAAAACTGTGAGCTTATTTCACTTTGAGGATTCGGAGATCACAGGTGGCGTCGCCGGGCAAAGCTATCAACCAGGGTGTTTGAATGTTGTCTTTTATTTTACTGGTTTGAAAGCACACAAAATAGGGCTTCACACTCCAACAACCTGAATAACAAAAATGTTTATTTGTCAAACCCTCCCAAAGCACACATGACCATCACAAGTTTTACGATTCCTATGTTTTGTTTAAAGCTGCAGAAGGGTCATTTTCTAATCAGGTTTTCTTATGTTTGTTGAAATTATTTTCAAAATGGTAACAATGCTCTGTTAATGTAGCAGAATAAGCTGTTTAATCACATAATTCTTCTTAAATACTTGTTGACTCGGTCACTAAATGGAGCGACGTTTGGAGTTAGCAGTGCCAGCTTCTCTTATGAAAAATAGTTAGGAGCTTGAAACCCCCGACACAAACAACACGTTCTATGCTTTATTCATTCGGTTCCTGGCATGTTTTTTTTTTTTTTTAAAGGTGTCTGGAATCAAAAAAGAAAAAACAAACACGTACCATGTTCAAGTGCCGCTTGAGTGTAAACCCTCCTTAGGACACAAACATTCTCATAAATCAATTCAGAGCGCAGGACCTGAATGCGTCTGTGGTAACCCCACCACTCGGTCCGTCTACATCTGTGGGAAGGAGGCCTCCACACCTTATTTTTTAATCACCTCCAGTTAGAACAGAACACACACTTTTTGCAGAAAACCGAACAACGCCGCTGCCCCCCCCTCAGGATGAGGCCATCCGTCTGTGCAATAAGTGCTGATGCTAAACATGATCAGGAGAAGTTGCTGCTGTGCTTTTATCACATGCCACAGATCGAACACTGCGAGGTTGCGATCAAAAGACGCAGCGGAGGGAAAACCTCATTGAGCCTGTCGTTTCCTCATCTTGAACACTTATTGAATTGAGCACCGGCATGTTACTGCTGTGGCAATAAGAGTCAGGATAGATGAATGGAGAACACTCTAAACAGCCAGGATGGATTTGGATTAGAATGAATTTGAACAAATTCTCTCTTGAGCAAGATGAAACTGCAGTGAATCTAATAGTTTCTCCTTTCTTCATCGAGCTGCCATTTATAACAATGCAGTTTTCCCAGCTGCGTGTTCCCCTGATTGGTACTAATAATTGCTGTCGGGGAGAAACTCTCCTAAAAACACAACTCAAACATATTATTCCTTCATTAGTTTGTTTCTCTCTCCGGCTGCTGCCGCCATGTTTTCTTTTGTAAATGGCATAACAACAAAAACGACAAAGCAATTCACCGGCAACCACTGGAATGAGCTTTGTTTTTTCTCTGTGGTTAAATATGCTTCAGTAGTGATGTGCTGGCACTGCGACCTTTCTGTGCACATCACAGGCAGCGAGAACAGCAGCATTACGCTGACTGCTGACCGGCAAGGGCCATGAATCGGCCCCGTAGCAAGCGCAGCTCTCCAGGCTGCTCTTTACCCACTTCTTCTGTCTTCCTCTTCTGTCTTCTTGCGTTAAACACAGTTAATTTACCTCCTGGTGGACAACCACTTCCTTCCCTCCTGTTTCTCACAGTGTTAAACTAGATGCTCTTGAGTGTTTGCTACTGCTTAAAGCGTAATGTACAAGATGTAATGACACTTTCCAGTGCACTTACTGCAACTTACGGACTCAAAGCTACCTTTTTGAAAAGGAAAATTGAGGAATAAGTACCTTAAGCAATTACTTAAAAGGTAGCAGGACTCCACTGTTACAATGTAGAATCACATCGGTTCCCTTGACAAAAGCCACAGGATTTCTCTCGAAAATGTTGAATTATTGGAAGTTACAAGATAATCTTGTGACCAATTTAAGATTTTTGTGAATGCAATCAGCCAAAGGCTGAAAAGGAAGCTAGAGGTGCATTAAAGGTTTAATCCTAATGTAGTCTTTTTTAGACACTATATACAAACCGCCTTTTCAAAACACATAAAAGCTTAAAAATTCCAAACATTAACCGGTTAGTGTTATACAACAAAATGTCAAATCTCTAAAGTTTCTGTTTCTCACCGACTTCATTTCAAGCATCAAACCAAAAACACGTGGAATGAATGTGCATGAATGTTTCCTAGGGACTCATTTCTGCACCACAAGTTCCATAAAGAAGCATTTTCTAGAACCTGCACACAACATCGTGCCCATACAACACCGTGAGCGGGAATCAGAACCTCAGTGTACCACCTGCCTGATGGGCACAAAAATCCCTGCTTACAGGCTCCAAAATGTCCTTTTTGGTTTTAAAAAGAAAACAATCTGGCTCAAAATACTTCACATGACATTATAAAATATGGTAAAGCACGTGTCACACAACCAGCATGCCAAGGCCCCCATGGCCCTGCAGGGAGGAGGGGATCTGCCCACTGGATAGGGGGGCAGCATGAGCCAACGACTCAACACTAAGCGCCCGTTTATGTGACGTGAATTCCATTCCAACCATCTGGGACTGACTGACGCAGCACCGGAAGGCCGGGACCAAGGCAACTGGGAACCATCAACCAAGATGCTGCTAATGAGACGGCAAATTAGGAGAGCTATTTACCAGAGACTACGGATTCTGTTGATCTGGGCTATTATGCGGTGAGAGTGGTGGCAGCGCACGCCCACGCCATCTCACTCTCTCTCTCTCTCTCTCATTCACTTGTCACCAACAGGGAACTGAAGGTGACAAAGGGGAGGGGGGGGGTGATGCCGGCAAAGTAGGGTAGACTAAGTCATTATCAGCTTTCTTCTCACACGGGAGAGTAGCTGGCAACACAAGTCGTGCATCATTTCCACCTGTGATGGACTGGGTGGGGGTTTGAGGGGGGGGCAGCAGGGGGGGGAGAGAGAGGAGAACGAAAAGGCGAATGGTGTGGAGAGATTCCCATCTCATTCCGCACATGAGAGGCTCACAGCGGCAGCGCAGCTTCCCTGATGCAATCACTCGAGCTGCTGAAAATAGAGAGCGGATGATCCGTCCTCTGCCTTTTGTTCACGCGGGTGAAGTCATTAGAGCGGGCTGCCAGGGAACAGCATGGGCGCGCCACCTCTTTGCTCAGCGTTAGCGTCAGTGCAGGTGCCCCCCCCTCAAACCCTCATGTTCTCCCTCCGGTCGGTATCAGCCAGCTCTGATTCGCCAGAGACAAACTATCGGCTCCCGGGGTAACTGGGGTTTGGTCGGGATTTTGCCACACTGGCAGGGGGATTAGTTGGAATGAAAGTGGAGATGACAGGTGGGGGGGGTTAAAAGTGCAGAAAACTGCTAGTTGTAGAGGGGAGGGGCTGAAATGTCAGATAAATGTTGCATAAAAGATGCACACAGGGGGACACAGAGGGACTGAAAGAAAACAGCGGGGGAACAAGTTTGGTCTCGGTAAAAGCAGTGAGAGGAGATGAGAGGAGAGCGGGGGGGGGGGGGTTGTGGAATAGAAAAAATAAGAGCGTTTCCCCTCGTCTCATCTGAAGTGTTTCTCTTGGTGGTGGAGTCATTAAAAAAGTGTCTAGTTGGCTAAAGCGAACGCAGTGGTTTTGAAAATAGCCTGAATAAAATCTGCATCCATTTAGATCGGCAGGGGGGGGGGTCCATCACACAGGCTCTCTTACTCAAGAGGGCTCAGGAGGAAAAGGCCGACGTTGGAAAGGGAGGATCAAGGAGCAAAGAGTGAGATTAAAGCATCATCAGAAGTGTCGGAGTCGGAGAGACAGAAAATGGGGGAGGGTGGGGGGGGGTTGCTGTATCAGCAGAATTCTCTCTCTTCTTTTCCTTTGCATGCCACCACAGGGTTAAATCAGAGCGCATGGGGTGAAAGTGAGAGCGTGCGCTTTGTGCGTCTCGTTGGGGTTATGTATCTAATGGGCTTAATAATGAAACAGCGCAGATATTTTCCTTCACAGGCTCCGGGGGCCAAGTGGTATAAAACACTGCATGCTGCTGTTTAACTTGTGCAGAGAGACAGGCCATTAGCCATTACTGAGGCCTGTTCAAATGCCTTATGGAGTAGGAGAGAGAGTGAGTGTGTGTGTGTGTGTGTCTGTGTGTGTGTGTGTAGTAGGTGAATG